CCCGCCCCGCCCAAGGCCTGGGGCAGGAACAGCTGTCTGAGGGTGCGGTGGCCTCGGGGAGCCGAGGCAAGCGGGACGGTTGACAAGGTGCAGTGGTTTTCCTCCCGGTTTTCCCCTCAAATACATTGCCTTTAAAACCCGTCGTTGCCTGCTATCCCAACGAGAGAGAGAGAGAGAGTAAGAGAGAGAGTATGTGGTTTCTCCCATGCGAACGCAAAAGGAAGGAAAACAAGAAAGCTGTGCAAGAGTGCCCGAGTTCAGGTCCCCCCCCTCACAAAAAGAAAATAATAAATAATTGAAAAACAGTAAGATGTTTAAGTGGAAAATAACAAATAACGTTTTGTCGGCGATGTCATTAGCATCTCGCAACTATACCAGGTGGCTGATTCACGCCGCGCACTTTCGTAGTTATAGGTACCGCAAGCCAGCGAGCAAAGGCGAACCCGTTCGCACGCGTGCATGCGGTATACAGTATATAACTACGAAAGTGCGCGGCGAGAATCAGCCATCTGGTGCAACCACCTGTTTTTCAGGGATATATGTGCGAATAAACACGTTGCTGAACATAGTTAACATCACCTCCGTCGCCCACTCACCTTGCTGCCGAAGATGAGCCCCAGCAGGAGAGTGACGGTCAGCTGCGTGTGGCAGAACAGGATGATGAAGAGCAGGTCCGGATTGGCCGGCGACTGCAGGAACAGCCTGGAACGCAAGAAGAACACATCAGCCGGCCGCGTTCAGTGAAGCAGGTGAGCGCCGCCCGGCCGGGCGCGGCGCAAGTAAGTATAGGAGCGCGGTGGCAAACGTTTCGCACCGTTCGCTAAATAATTGCGCACTTTCTGTCTCTCGCTCTCTCCCATTTTCTCTCTCGTGCCAGGAATAATATTATTTTACGCGGGAGAGTCGGGTCGCACCGCGCAGAGCACGCCAAGCTGTCTGACCCCCGAGAGATGGAGAGTCAAACGGAGCAATAACACCACCGTGGCGGCGGCAAACCAAGAAGATGAATGTGCGAAAAAAAGACACTGTCAGTTGAAACCGCCCCTGCTATTTCATTTCAATATATATTTAATATAATATAATATTTAAAAACAGTTGAGCATACTGAACAGTACTCAACCTCAATCGGCACGATAAAAACATCGCACCCGAATATCTTTTGCATCGAGAAAGTAGTTATATGCCGAGACAGACAAAGTTCTTTCCTAGCAAATGTTCAATTAAAAAGATATAGCTTAATAATAGCTTAATAAAAATATGACTTACATTGATACGTTTAGGAAAACGGAGAGCAGAAACTCGTTATAGATGGCCATGGAGATGAAACGAGCCTCGTTGAACTCGGACGGCGCTTTGCGGACCACGATACAAAGTCGGATGCCCCAGCCAAGAAAGACCACCTCCACTGCAACACAAATGTAAGAAAACGTCACAGCCTCAGTTGATTTTCTACAAAAAGACAAAAAACAACCACAAAAACACACAAAAAATACTCACAACATCGTGGTATTAAGTGTGTTTTTGTGGGTTTTTTAGTGTCGTTTTGCCACGAGTTTTTAAATATTTTTTTTTTACTGACGTGTCGTGAAGGAGTGGTCCCACCAGTCGGTGCGGCAGAGGTAGGCCTTGAGCCCCTCGGCCGTCTTGCCCTCAATGGCGGCGGGCGGCGCGACGAGCGTGCGGATGGCCAGAAACACGCTGAACACGCCCGCGATCACGCCCACCCGCTTCACCAGGTCCAGGTCCGTGATCTTGACGGCCCGCGCCGACCGCACCCGGAAGATCACCGAGATGCTGCAAAGAGGATGCGATGATATGGTCCATACCGCGTAGGGTGAGGTTTTATATGTATACACGATACGTGGCGCCCTCCAATCACATTATCGGACAGGCAGGGGGGGATCCCGACATGAAAACGAGGTACAAATAAAAAGGGGAAGGAAAATAAGGGCGCGAAATGAGATTTGGTCCGGAGGGTAATACAAAGTCGGAGCGGGGCGGGGCGGGGCGTAGTGCGAAATATTGAGCCCTCTGCGACGCGTGACATGTGCGGTGCCAAGCGCGCCGGAAGAGTTCATCAACCATGAGAGCGACCCGGATGGAGGAGAGAGGGGGATGGGGGTGGTGGTGGTGAGGGTGACGAGCGAGTGAGAGGCATGCAGAGATATTTGCTTACCGCCACGTCTTGAGCATGAGCGCGCCGTACGTGAGGGAGAAGCCCAGCTCGCGCAGCCACACCCGCAGCGTGCACCAGACCACGTTCGGCTGGAAGTACGAGGCGATGGTCTGCGACACACAGAGAGTGAGACCTTCAAGAAGAGGCTTGCACTTCCAAAAATTTCTGTTTTCTGAATGGAAATGTGATTATTTTCCTGCACGACGAAAGTTAATTGTCACATTATAAACGAATAAGTTTTTCTTCCTCCAAGTGCAGTTCAATATAAATTCAAGCGTACTCATTATTTTTTTGCTGTTTTTTTTTTTTTTTTTTTTCAAAATAATTTTTTGGTTAGCTGAACACTGATTTTTTTTGTAAGTGAACCCTTTTTTTTGGAGTCCGGCCGGCGCTCACCGTGCAGTACATGAAGAAGGCGCCGAGGGCGATGACGCGCAGCAGGACGGGGCTGGCGGCGCGCACCACCTTCACGTGGCCGTACTTGACGGTGAAGAGCGCGACGGCGGGCAGGCAGCAGATGACGGCGGCCGAGAGGGCGAGCAGGGCCGTGCGCACGGGCCAGTTGAGGGCGGCCACGCACGGCCGCGCGTCCTCGCACCACTCGCAGCCCTGCGCGCACGGCAGGCACTCCAGGGTGCCCGGCAGCGCGTACACCGAGGACCGGCCCTGCAAAGCGAGCGACAAACGAGGAGCATGCAGTCAAACACTTGGCATCAATTATTAAATGGGCAATTTGGGGCAACTACGGCCGCTATAAAACGTCCTCACGTCCACTCGTTTATCAAAGGAAATTATTTTTTAAAAA